GAAATATCCTGAACTAGGAAATTGCAGAAAAAAAAAGAAAATGTATCTACTTTAAAAAAAAAAACCAAAAGCCAAGGAGAGATAAACTAATAATAACCGAGAACTGATGGTTATGGGAGCCAGATGATGAAAAGAAGACACAAAGGTTCTCACCAGTGGGTCAAATGGCAGCATCATTATGGATGGTGAAGAGACTGAGACTGTTAACAGTTTTAGTTTGCTTAGCTCCACAATCAACACTCTTGGTACTAGTAGCCAGGAAAGCATGAGAAAAATTACATTGGAAAAGTTGGCTGTCAGGGACCTCTCCAGAGTACTGAAGAGCAACAACCTCAGTCTAGAGACTAAGGTGTGCCTGATCCAGTCAGTCTTCGCAATTGCTTGCTATGCATCAGAGAGCTGGACAATGACTAGGGATGACAGAAAGAGAACTGATGCCTTTGAGGTGTGGTACGGGAGAAGAGTGTTGAATAAACCATGGACAGCTAGGAGAAGAAACACTTTTGTCCTAGCAGGTGAAACTGGGCTGCTACTTGGAGGCAAGAATTCTAAAGCTTCGTCTGACATATTTTGGACACGCTACAAAGAGGGACCAGTTCTTGGAGAGGTACATCATGCTTGGGAGGTTGGAGGGACAGCACAAGAGAGGAAAACCCTCGATGAGATGGATTGATTCAGTCACTGGGATAATGGAGGCATGTGTCAGAGACCATGAGGTTGGCACAGGATAGAGCAGGCTTTAGGTCTCTTGTACATAGGGTCGCTGAGTCACAAGCAATTCGAAAGCACATAACAACAACAGGAGAAAAATTCTGTGATTTCATACAGACAGGTTTGGAAGCAGGAGTAGCATCCACTTCCTAAACAATAGGCCTCTGGAACCTCTATGAACTTTGATAAATGTTGATAGTTGGGGGACGGGACTTTAGGCCTTTTTTTCATAGGGTCACTATGAGTTATGCTCAACTCAAAGGCAATCAACTACAACTAGAAAATTCCCACAATCAAAAGTTGCAAGAAAAAAAGAGCAAATCCATTAAAAGGTGCTTAAAAGTACCACTTAAACTCACTTTTAGTTGTTTTTTAAAAGAGGACATCATTGCTCTTTACTACCATTATCAACTACTGAAATACTAAGCAAAACAAATTCAAGGAAGTGATAAATGATTTAGATTCTACTTCCCAAGTTCATCACTGAACAAAAAGGTTAGCTGAAAATACCTAATATCTAATGAGAGTAGCGACTCAATTAAAGGTATTTTTAAAAATTACTTTGCTTGAGTAGTAAAATCTATCACAATCTGGTTGACAGAACATTAACTGCTACAGTTAAGAAAGATATGACACACCACAACAAGATAAAGGTAAACAATCCAATAGAAAAATGGGCACAGGATATGAACAGACATTTAAGAGAAGAAGACATTCAGATGGCCAAACAAGCACATGAAGAAATGTTCAAAATCCCTAGCTCTAAGAGAGATGCAAATCAAAACAACTATGAGATATCCTCTCACCCCAGTCAGAACTGCAAAATTTAACAGAACAGCAAGCAACAAATGCTGGTGAGGTTGTGGAGAGACTGGAACACTTATTCACTGTTGGTGGAAGTGTAAAATGGTGCAACCACTGTGGAAGCTGGTGTGGCGCTTTTCTTAAAAAGTTGCAATTAGAGATACCATTTGACCCAGCAATTCCACTACTGGGAATATACCCCAAAGAGACCATAACTGACATCCAAGCAGATATATGCACACCCATGTTTATTGCGGCTTTGTTCACAATAGCAAGGAGTTCAAAACAACCCAAGTGCCCATCAACAAATGAATGGGTAGAGAAGCTGTAGTACAGTCACACAATGGAATGTTATGCTGCATTGAAAAACAAGGAACTCGTGCAATATTATTCAAAATGGGTGACCCTGGAGGACATTATGCTGAATGAAATATCTCAGTCACAAAAAGACAAATACTGTATGGTACCACTGTTGTAAAATAGGACTGACATCGAGGTTGGGGGGAGACTGAGAAAGATGGGGTAAATAATGTATACTGCATTGAAACAGATGAGGTAAAACTGTTGAAAAGGGATATGTTATTAGGTATTGTGAGAGGAGTCCAGAACACAGGCTGCATAGTAGAGTAGACCTTGGGGGAGGGATTGTAAAACAATCTGGGAAGTTTTCTTTTACTTTTCAAAGAGAAGAGTATACTGGGGGGTTGGGGTTGGCAGGGTGAAAAGTGCAACAATGAATGAATGGAAACCCAAAGTCTCTGTAAATTTTCATTAAAACTAACAAAAAAATAAAATTAAGCAATGACCTTTTAAAAAAAAAGATATGACAAAATACATATAGGTAAAAGACATTGCTCTCCTTACAAAGAGCCATCACATTTATAGTTTTGAAATAGATCACTCAATATGGTTTCAGTGTTACATGGAACAAATGTGTGCTGAGACTTTAAATGTCTTATTTTTTTTTTCTATTAGACTAATAAAGAAATCTTATATGTTATCTTAATTGTGCAAATTCTAAAAAAAATCCTAAAACCACATCACATCTAAAAACTGTCAAAATTTTGTTATATACAGCTAGTTGTTAATGGCCAAAGGGTTTTGCAATTCACACTTTGCGCTTCAAGATGTAACATTACTTTAACTTTTGTCATTTGGACTTTGCTTGTACAACTGACTGACATTTGTCTTAGCAAGTTGTACAACAAGCACCATTACTTGTTCCTAAATTTTTTTATCCCCTTTAACCCTTTCATAATTAAATGATGCTCAATTTTTAATTTTTTATAGAGGTTATGTATTTTCATTAATTGAGGAAGTCATTAATAGAAGGCATACTGAATCAAAGACCATTTCTAAATTTTGTTATGAAATATGAACTTGGATACAAAGCTGCTCTGGATTTTAGGAGCTGGACTGTGTAGGCTACACGTCCCTTTTGATTTTGTACTGTCTTCTAGATTCAGTGAAAGGTGCATACAATTTAGGGTGCCTGAAAAGCATATATCAACCTAGAAATATACTTAAGAGGCTATCTCTCAGTAAGAAAAAGCCAGAGACAAAAGTTTTGAAAATTCTACTTCTATATCATACCCTTTAAAAACAGTAATTTGAGGCACATGCCCTTTTCTCCTTTTTAAAGTTATATAGGTTTCCTGCTAATGGCTACATGCACTGTCTGTGGGAGAGCAGCTGACCAGTAAATAAACACCAGGGGAGGAAAACACAGGTGGGCACTGTATGTTCTGTGAGATAACAGAAATTCAATATACTCTGAGCAAGAATTCTTCATTTCCCCATTCCTACCTGCCCCTAAACAAGCAACAAAAAAACCCTAAAAACAAAATAAATCCTATGTTGTTGAGTCAATTCTAACTCACATGTAAGACAGAGTAGACTCTGGGTGTTCTAGGCTGTAATCTTCACCTAAGCAGATTGTCAGGCTTTTTCTCCATCGTGTCTTGGCTGGATACAGGCTGCTAAGTTTTAGATTAGGAGCTGAGCCCAAACCACTTGCACTACACAGGGACCTTTCAACTCAACTCAATGCCATAGAGTTGGAACCTACTCAGAGTTGACCCTCCATTGGTTCTCCAAGGGTATAAATCGCACAGGTGACTGTCTACTTGTCTCCCACAGTCATTGATGGATTCAAATTACCAGAGGTGCAGACTCTGAGTTAGCAGTGAAATTATCCATGCACACAACAACATGCTTCCTTTGGATGTCATTCATTTTGACGATAAAGGAGGATGAATGAATTCCTGGCATGTCTCAGGGGTGTGGGTGTGAGTGTGTGTGCATGTAGCATAGCTTCAAGGATTCATGTAACAGTTCTACTAAGGCAACCATTCCCCAGGGCTCAGAAAAGCAACATCAGGCAAAGAACATGCAAAAGTGACTGAAAATATTTCAGCGTGACTAATTTAGCTAAAGGAGTTCTAAAATTAAAAGGAGGACCACTATTGCCTTTTAAGTGAAGACTGAGTTACAAAGCAAAATAAGCAAAGCCAAGCTTTTATGGACCCTCATGCTTGTGATTTCTCACCTGAATGCTGCTTCGTGTGTTTACATATAATTGCTGTTGTTAATGTGCTGTCCAGTTGACTGCAACTCAGTGACCCACCCTATGCACAACAGCTGTGAAGCCAGCCGTATCCTGAGCCAGTGTCACTCTCTCTGACACACTCTAGTTATCTCAGTTACTGTGTCTATCCACCTCATTCAGGGTGTTCCTCTCCTGCACTGTCCTTCCATCCTTCCATGTATGATATCCTTCTCCAAGGACTAGTACCTCCTGGAAACAGGCCCAAAATATGTGAGATGGAGCTTTAAAATCCTGGCCTCCCAGGAGCAACTTGGCTTCACCTTATATATAAAAATGGGTTATTTTTATACATCAGCTACTCCATAAAAGAAAGATGGGTCATCTTTTGGATTTACTGCCTTTGAAAATCTACTGGGGGTCAGTTATAAATTGGTTCCAACTTGACAGTACATAACAATAACAACATAATATATAATTTTTTTGTGTGTAAAAAGAACCTGCCTATTTTTACTAAAGCCCTACAAAAAAGAGTTCTAAAACTCAGTGCTATGAAGTAAAAATTCAGCATTAAAAGGCTCACATTCTTTATGAGAAACCATATAATCTTCAATAGATTCTAAGGATCATTTAAATACTGATTAATACTAGATACAAAAATGGCTGGAGCAGTGAATCACAGACAATTGACATTTAAGACACAACAGTTACAGAGACATTCTTAGTAATCTCATCTCTACTCATTCTGTTGAAACAATCACAAAAGAAAAGCGATTATGTGGTTGAAACTTATATTAAGAAAAATCTCAACACTTACCATTTAGTTTTACACTGCATCCAATTCCTTGTTTGCACTTTAGCTTCCACTTCTATCCAAGATATGCCCCTGTAGAGCTTTTCCCGAACAATTGAGAGGCGGTTTTCAGGATTTCCTTGGAGGCTAGAATCCATCTCCTTCAACTCCTGCTCTGGTATCTTCTTTAGAAGCACTTGTTCAATGGCCTTAACTAGCCTCTGGGTTTCTGCTTTACTCCAAGTACCGCGATTTACTTCTACAGACACAAATGGATCATCTCAGAGTTGCAGTCTATTTACTTTGATAGACAGTATTAAAAACAAAACAATAAACTAGGTACTATTCAGACCATGGGCAGACTCCTCACTTATACCTGTCTAAGTCCTTTCCTAAAGCAATGCTTTTGACTTCAAAATGAGTTACACTTCTAGTTTTAGAGATCAAAGTCATCCTTCTTGGAGGGAGTGCAAACAGGGTGCTCCTTAAATGGCAAGGATGGTAAGGCTTCGTCTCATGCACTTTGAGCATTTGTTAGGAGGGGGCCAGTCCTTGGAAAAGACATTATGCTTCTTAAAAAAAAAAATCAGGGGGGCCAGTAAAAGTGACGATGAAGACACTCAAAAAGATGGACTGACAGTGACAACAATGGGCTTGAGTATGGCAGAGATTGTGAGGAGGGTAGTGGAGGATAGGGCAAGGTTTTAATCTGTCGTTTACAGTCACTGAGTCCTCCTTGACTCACTGGTATCAAACAACAACAACAATAGCAACACAGTACTTGATGATTAATACAGAATGTCTGAAGCCAATTACCTAGGTAGGGTGCTCAAAGCAAAAATTGGCTTACTTCACTTGACTAGAGACATACTAAGGAAGTCTCAAACTGGCAATCTTTAAATACTTTTGCTGTGACTCACAAACTGTTTTACCTTTGCAAAGCAATTTAAAAAAATCAAGAGGTTAAAACAAACAAGCAAAAAAAAAGGAAAAAAATTCACAAAATAAAAAAGGACCATAAATTCTGGGTTATCTCTTGGAAAGTGGAAGCAATGGTTTCCCAGAGCCTTCACATGCATGAATGGCAGAGCTGCTGTGCTTGCAGCCCACCAAGCCTGAACACACGGGCATACTGTTGCTCAGTCTGCTACTCATCTGCACATCGTCAGTGCTGAAGCATGTGTGTGCTGTACTAAACAGTAACACACACTAGCCTTTCCACCCCTACCAGTCTCCTTGGCCTCTCTACAGAAATGGCTTCTTCTTCCCAGCCTCTCCTCCTGACTCCACTGGGCATTTATATTCGTGGTGAGAGTCACTAAACCCTTCATCAGAGTACAAGTGAAAAAAACCTCATATTGTGAATAAAGCAGTAACTTACTATTGCTGATCTGTGAGTATTTCAGAGCAACAGAGAGGCCGCTACGAGCCACCAATGCCCCAATCGTCTTCCAATCATTTCCATGGACGGAATGGTACAGCTTGACCTTCTCAGCATCTTCTTCGCTATACCTAGTAGAAAACACATTACAATTTTAAATGGAAAGATTAAAAGCTGTATTCTCACTATGGTGCATCTGAGTGAGGAAGACCATGGAGAAATCTGGTTCTAATGCCTGTCCCCTCCTTGCTTTGTGTTTCTTTGCTGTAGAGACTTGTTCACCCTAAAAGTTAATAATCATAATCCTGGCCCAGAGATCTGACTTAGTGATAAAACAATAAGTGGAAACAAATAGGGCACCATCTTCAAATTTTCACAAAAAGTGTACACTAAACTATGTTAAGTGTAAAAATTCAGCCTGGATAGCTCCCATAATGTTCAGAATATAGCTTAAATGGCACTTCTTCAGTGAGGTCCACCTCAGCTCAAGAAAGTGCTTCTCATTCACAGCAATGAACACAATTTTAAATTATATAAATACATAAGTGATCTATCTGTGAGTTTCCTTGTTTACTCATCTCTTTCTCTAGAGAAGCTGTGTCCAACAGAAATATAAGACGAACCACAAATAAAAGTTTTCTATTCTTACAGTTGTTGAGTCAGTTCTGCAGTAGAAATGAGTTTTGTAGACTTTGAGTTTTGTTCACTAACACATCTGTACTGCTTGAAAGGCCAGACAGTTACTAAACAGGTGATGAGTGGCTTAACACAAACAGATAAAACAACCTGAAGAATTTTTAAGGTGTGTGTAATTACATATTGTACAACCACAGTATGCTTAAAGTAAAAATCAGAAAGTAAAATAAATACATAAATCTCTCTCCTTCCATTAAAAAAACACTGTCATTACAATAAAAACATCTGCTTTAGTACTCAGTGCTATTTTCTTTCTTTCAGGGTCTTTCCTCCTAGCACTGTTAATTTGGCTCTTAAATCAACTAATTTGTTGGGTCAATTCGCTGTTAGGTGCCACTGAGTCAAATACAACTCAGAGTGATTCTATGAACAGCAGATCTGAACCCTGTCTTAGTCCCATCCTTATCATCTCTGACACACTTGAGCCCACAGAGTGTTGTTAGGAGAGGCTATTACCTGGAAAGGGACATCATGCTTAGAAGGTGGAGGATCAGTGAAATAGAGGAAGACTCTCAATAAGGTGGACTGATACAGTGACTGCGTCAATGAATTCAAGTGTGTCAGGCAGGAATGATAAATACTGTGCAAGAGAGGATAGGATTCAGATCTCTGTTCACAGGGTTGCTTTGAGTTGTACTTGACTACATGGTCCGTAACAATACAATGTTTCTACTTCAATTCTACTTCTGACTTAGGTTACTGCCTTTGTTAAGTTCAGTACGAAACAAGTAATTTTTTGTGACTTTTTTTTAAAATTAAAAGAAGACTGATTCTACACCACAGGTAGAGAGAAGTTACCTGGAATGCCTTTAGCAATTCATCAAAAACATTCTATTATTTTTTTAATATTTATAAGCATTTTGGAAAGTTACATTTAAAATGTCATCATTATTGATGTCAAATCTAGTGATTTTTTTTTTAAAGCTCTGTTCATAATCATCTAACTTTGAGACTTGAGAAAACCAATGTTGAGATTTCTGGTTTCTTTCTGCATGGGGACTCTTCTGCAGATAAGGTTTATTTCTTCTTGTGAAAATGTTAAAGAACAGAAAAGAGAAATCAAGGTCATGTCAGTGTCTGAAATTGAACTAATCTGTATGTTTTGGTTTAAAGTCACTCTCATCAACTGGGTAGAACTCAAATGACTCTGCTTAACGACTGCTGTCAATGACTCCAGTCCCTTCCCAAGTGAGATAAGGGAGTTGAGTCAATTAAGTGTTTGGGTTCTAAGAGGTGTGCTTATTATTATGCCTTCTTGCTTACTTCTTTGTCCTTAAGCACAGTGCTTACTCAGAGCAGATATTTAAATATTTTTTTTTTTAATTTGGAATGTTGGGAACAAATGTTTTATTGAAAGGAAAAAGGGAGGAGTAATTCAATAACCCCATTGTGTATTTTGCCTTGAATTACATGCAAATTAGTTATTACTAGTGTTTACCTGCAACTTCAAAGACTTACTGAACGCTTAAAGAATTAATGTTAAGTGATAAAAAGGAGCATCAAAAGAAAAAGAATGTGTATGTTCACAAGGAGCTCACAATTTCGTAAAAAGCATACTTCATAAGCACCAGGAGAAGGGTAGAAATACGAAAGAGGAGCTGAGGATTTAGAAAAGAGTTTAAAGGCATTTAAAGCAAACTGGTCTATAAAGTATCTTACTGTAGCTACTGTGACTAACAGTATCATCAAAGACTACAGAAAATGGCGATCAAGCAAAGACCTTCTCCTTACCTGCCTTTGTAATTATGAATATGAAACATCTTCTGTGCTCTATAGTATACCAGTTTCCAAGGCCGAGCAATGTCCTTGCCTAAAGTGAAAAAGAGAAGTTGTGAGATGACATATGCTTTCTACACAGTCTTAGATCATGGCATGAAGTAGAGTCATATCTGTGATGTCATTAATAACACCCACTATCCTGTTGCTGGAAGCAGGAGTGGCATCCACTTTCTAAACAGCATGTCTCTGGAAACTCTGTGAACTTTGATAAATGGTGATGGGAATAAATGTGGAAGGGATTCAGACTTTTGTTCATGGGTGAGTCATGCTCGCCTCGATGGCAATCAACAACAACAATCCTGTTGTTGTGTGCTGCTGAGTTGGAATCAACTCAGAGCTAAACCTCCAGCAGGTTTTCAGAAACAGTAAATCACACTGGAGACCACCCATCCTTCTCCCTCAGAGCAGCTGGTGGATTTCGACGGCCGGCTTCTGGTATTGCAGCACAGCTTCTTACCCCTAGGCCAATAGAGTTCCCTCTATCCTGGACCCCACATTACGGTTACAATTTTGCAAGTTATGAGCAAAGTTGTACTTGGAGATCTTTAAAAAAATGTAAATACCTACACACCCATATTTAATGCAGCTTTGTTCGTAATAACAAAGAGCTGGAAACAACCCAAGTACCCATCAACAAATGAATGGCTAGAGAAGCTCTGGTATATTCACACAATGGCAGCACTGAAAAACAAGGAACTCATGAAATATGCAAAATGGATGACCCTGGAGGACGTTATTCTGAGTGAAATATCTTAGTCACAAAAGGACACATATTGCATAGGGCAACCGTTGTAAAAAGGGACTGACATTGGGGTTGAGGGAAGACAGAAAAGGAGGGGAGGAATGATGTATATTGCACTGAAACAGATGAGGGGAGAGAACTGTTTAAAAGGGACATATGAATGGGTATTCTTGTCATTACAGAAGTCCAGAGTGAAGGCTGCATAGTGGAGTAGACTTGGGGGGAGGGATTGCATAACAATGAAAGAGTTTTTTTCTTTTCTTTTTTTTTAATTTTTTTTTAAATTGTATTATTTTTATGTGTACCGTCAAATCAGATCTGACTGGTACATGAAGAGATTGCCCCCTCCTTCTCCAGCAGAGCATCTGGTGGATTTGAACCATGTACCTCTGTGATTGCAGTGCAGCGTCTTGCCACTAGGCCACCAGAGCTCCCTAGTTTTATTCTTTTCAAGGAGAAGAGTGGATGGGGGGAGGGGGTGGGAAGGGAGAAAAATGCAACAATGAATTACTGGAAACCCTAAGTCTGTGTAAACTTTCATTAAAATTTATTTTTTTTTAAAAAATGTAAATGCCTACTACCAAGAGGCCCCAGGTTCTAGTCTACTGAATTTATGGAAAAGATCTTTATGAGGTAAGATAATTTTGAAAGAATTTGAAATAAGAAAATACCCACCAAAAAAAAATACCCACAAAACTATCATTTCTAAGTTCAATCTTTCTCTTTTTTCCCCCAGTTTGGTCCTATTTTACTTCATGATCTTTTAACTTTTTAATCAGTATCCTCAGGAAGATTCCAGCTACAAGGCATACATATAATTATATCTTTTTCAGTGACAGAGATCAAAGTGCATTTAGGGATGCAATTTTCACAGTATTAAAATATAACTCAATGAAGAACAAAAAAAAAGAAACCTGTAATTATTATTAACACATTGCTGCACACTTTTAAATTTAAATTTATGACCGTGCTTCTTCTTCCATGTATTACCATCATTTGCGACAACGTGTTATGGAAGAAAGGGTAATATACGGGAGAGTCAAATACACTCCAAATCTCTAAAAGTAGAGGATAGAAACAAGAATACTATTACTACAGCACTAGTCAAGAGGCCAGGCACTGGCATCATGAACATGTCTCTTACCCTAGGTGATCTTGCTTAAGGTTCTAGACTACCAAAGACGTAATCAAAGACACAGAAGGTTAGAGAAGAGACATGGCTGAACTTACCAATGTGCAATCTAAATGCATACTTTCGCTTTAAATCATTGATCGCAGATTTCTCCTCTGGATATCTATCTGTGTGCAGCAGTTTGTCTGCAGTCTCAATTCCTGTCAGGGCCAGAAATTCTTGCACGTTTTTCTCTAATTGTTTATTCTCCTTTACAGAAAATTTGCCAAATTTAATAGAAGCACCTAGATTTGGGAGAAGGGGAGACACACCATCATCAGTAATGAACAAAAACAAATCCACCAAGTTGATCTTTAATCGGCAATTACAACACATCATCCTCGCCTTCAGGAAGCCCATCTGGCTGTGTGCATGATGTTCACACCATTTGTGGACTTGTCGTTTTTCAAAGATCCTCTTCTGCCAAAGCCACCCTTGGTTGTCAGATTCCAAAATCATGGCTCTTTCTTCATAAACTGTACAATTTTAATGTTTGTTTGTTTGTTTATTTTTAAAAATCTTTTTGGAATAAAACACATTTAACATAAAGTTTGTCATTTTATGATTTCAGTTCAGTGGCATTACATTGACAATGTTGTACAGTTGTGATCACTATTTGAAAAACTGCCCATCATCTCCCAAAAACCTTATTGACTGTCAAGCTGCGTTGTTTGACAGCTCCTAAAAGAACTTTAGCCCAAAGCAGGGCAAAGCAAAGGCCACACTCTAGTTCAGACCTTTTGTTCATAGGGTCGCTATATGTGTATGCGCCTAACAAAACAAGGCCAGACTTTTTTTTTTAAGGCCAGATATTTTTTTTTTAAAAAAAAGGTTGGAATTTTTTCCCCCTGTGACTGAATGCATTTGTTTATAAACGATCTAACATCTCAGAAGAGAATTAACACACATCAAAACAAACTCAAAAGAAAACAACAAAAAACTTAGTACTCATTAAGCAGTAACTTCCCATTTCCCTCTCCCACCATCCACAGTCAACCCTTATCTACTTTTTGTTTCTATAAATCTATCTATTCTAGGTATTTCATGAGTAGGATCATACAGTATTTGTCCTTTTGTGCCTGATTTATGGTAGTTTTGCTTAATTTCCTGAGGAACTGTCTTACATTCCTACCAGGTGTGCACAAAACTCTAATTTTTTTACAACCTTGGGAAATTTTGGAGTTTTTTTGGTTTGTTTCATTTAAAAATTATAGACACAACAATGGATGTGTTTTTCACAATAACGAATAATGTTGTTGTTATGTACTGTGAATTGGAACTGAATCATAGCTGACCCTCCAGTGGATTTTTAAAGAAAATAAAATGCACAGGAGGAGACTGTTCATCTTTTTCCCTTGGGGCAGTGGGTGGATTTGAACCACCTTTAGGTTGGAAGCGCAGTTACTTACCACCAGGCCATCACAGCTCCCTTTAAGTAATACATGCTCATTAAAAATTCAGTGTTGCGGTGAGCTCAGATGGCCTAGTGGCAAGGAGCTGCACTGCAATCCCAGAGGTGCGCGGTTCAAATCCACCAGATGCTCTGCTGAAGAAGGAGGAACAATCGCCTCCTGTACCAGTCAGATCCGATTTGATGGTACACACATATTTTTAAAAAAACCAACAAACCACAAAAAAAACCCTTAAAAAAAATTCAAGTGCAACAATGAATGAATGGAAACCCAAAATCTCTATAAATGTTCATTAAAATTAATAAAATTTAATTTAAAAAAATAAAAAAATATTCAGTGTTGCAATAAAGTTTAAATGAAGCCTCCCGTGGACAGGGAATCTGGCTTAACGAAAATAGGGATCCCAAGGAGAAACTAGGGAGAATGTTGACACGTGGGGCTTGAAATCTAGTTAGCAAACAATCTGCATATGAATTACTGGTTGAAAACGAATTTACTTTACCTAAAAGACAATAAAATGTAAAAAACCCCAACAACACAGCATAAAACAGCCACCACTTTACCCTCTCAAGCACATTTTCCACATTTCTTCTCCACCACAGAACTTAGACGAGCAGTTCAACAAACATTAAGGAGCTACAAGTTTACCTTGTGCTTTAAATTCTTGAAAACGCTCAAGGTCATCCCGATACATTCGCTTAATAGTGCCAGCAGACCTTTCTTTTATGTTAGGTATGAATTCTTGAAGTTTCTTCACAGCAGAGTCCAAATCCACATCTGAATCATCTGAATCCCTCGAATCTTCAGATAAACATGTTTCAGGGTGTTCAGGGTGTCCAGCTGATTCCAAATTGCTTTCTTCTTCATTTGTAGATTCCAACCTAACAAAAAAACCAACCACCAAACTAGGCTCATACACATTAACATCATATGGCCTAAAATCTTTGAAAAACTCTTTCCTTAAAATGGCTCTTCCCTAGACAACTATAGAGGGTTAGCACCAGAAGACAGTTTGGAGATGATTCAGTTTGTGATCTGCAAACTCTTTCCTAGAAATTAAACTACTTGATAAACCTCTGAGAACACCTCTTAAGAACAAATGACAGCCATCAGGCTCTATCTTCACAACATCATTTTTTAAAACCAAATGTAAAAGTTCTACAATGAAAAACAAATGTTCTTCCATACCCTCGGCCACTCTTCATGAATAACTGATAACTTTTAGCTTATTTTTTTCTATATGTATTTTTTACTTCCAAATTTCAAAATCTCATTAATTTTTGGTTTTTCAAGTTACTGACTTCGTAATAAGCTTCTCCTGCTCCCACTGATGCTCATATACTTCTCAGAGATCCACTCATTGTATTCTTTACCTCAAACAGGTTAATCATCAGTCAAATCAATATCCAGTATAAAGACTGGGTCACTATTCTTCCTGGAGCCATTAAGACGAGAACTATACTTGGTTTTACTGTAGTTAATGATTTAATGATTTCATTTCTTCCCTTGCTTAGTTTTGTGTGTTGCTGTACTTTCTTTTGTTCATTCCAACCAATGCAACCACTATATGTGCGTAGAATGACACCATAAAATTTCCTTGGTGGTAAACTTTATGGGACCAGGTCACTGGGTTTTTTCCTCTGAAGAAGTGGTTAGTGGGTAGCATCTACCTTTTAGTTGCACCACCACTAATTTATCCCTAAACTTTCTGCCACAGGTCTAAATCTCAACCATTGGCTAACTAGACAGACCACAAACTAGAAATATTTTATCTGTCTAAGCAAAGACTAACCAGCTTTGAGTGGATTTGTTGTTAGATGCTGTAGATTTCATCCTATGAATAACAGATCTGAACCCTATCCTAATGTGCCGTCCTGATCATCTCTGATAAACTTAAGCCATTGCTGCAGTCCCTCTGTCAATCCGTCTTGTTGAGGGTCTTCTTTTCGCTGACACTCTACCTTTTCAAGCATGATGTCCCTTTTCAAGGAACAGCCTTTCCTAACAACATGTCCAAAGTATGTGAGATAAACCTTCTCCATCCTTGTCTCTGAGGAGTACTCACGTTGCACTTTCCCTAGATGTTCTTCCTGCTGTCAGTGGGATATTCAGTACTCTCTTCCAATACAACAACTCAAAAGCATCAATTCTTCAGTCATCCTTGTCCAGTTCTCAGACACAGAGCATGTAATTGAAAATATCATTGTCTGATTGCAGGTACCAAGGGTGTTGATGGTAGATCTAAGATGAAATCACTGGCAACTTTAATCTTCTCTCCATCGTGATTGTGCCCACAGATCACAATCACGATGATGGATGGCGACTGAAGTTGTCAATAATTTCATCTTACTTGGATCCAAAATCAACACCTTTGGTGTCAGGAGTCAGGAGATGAGAAGATGTCTGCATTTGTCTTGATTTTCAGATGTGATCCATATTGAAGGCTGTGGTCCTTGATCTTCTGCAGCAAATGCACTTAATCTGCATAATGCAGGTTGTTGATGTTTCTTCCTTTAATACCGCTGCCACAGCCATTTTCATAAAAAGCAGTTTCTCAAATTATTTGCTCAGCATACAAATTAGGTATGGATAAAGGATACAGTCCTGATGCACATTTCTCCTGATTTTAAACTATGTAGTGTCCCCTTGCTCTGTTTGGACAAGTTAGGAATAGGTTTTGCATGATCACAACTAAGTGTTCTTGGATTCCTATACTTCTAAATGTTAGCTGCAGCTTGTTAGGTTCCACATAGTCAAATGCCTTTGCACAGTCAATAAAGAACAAAGAGACATTCTTCTGGTATTGTGTGCTTTTAGCCAGGATCTATCTAACATCAGCAATGACATCCCTGGTACCACAGACTCTTCTAAATCCTGTTTGAACTTCTGGCTGTTCTCTTTCAATGTACCGTTCTACCCTTTTTTGGGTTGATGTTGTTATGTGCCGTTGAGTTGCTTGTGACTCACAGTGACCCTATGTACAAGAGCCCTAAACCCTGATCTATTCTGTGTCATCCTCATTGTCTCAAACACACCTACTCCCACTATTCCAATCACTGAATCGATCCATCTCATCGAAGTTCTTCCTCTCCTGAGCTGTCCCTTCACTCTCCGAAACATGATGTCCCTCTCCAAGGACTGGTCCCTCCTTGCAACATGCCCAAAGTATGTCAGACGAAGCTTTCGAATCCTTCACTCCAAGGAGCAGCCTGGCTTCACTCTCTCCAGGACAAAGATGCGTGTTTTCCTACAAGTCCAGAACCACAGCACAGATGCATCAATTTTTTTATCATCTCTAATCACTGTTCAGCTCTCCGATGCATAGCATGCAATTGTGAAGACTATGGCCTGGATCAGGCACACCTCAGTCTCTAGCCTAATGTCATTGCTCTTCAGTACTCTGGAGAGGTCTCTGACAGCTGACTTTCCCAATGCAATTCGTCTCTTGATTTCCTGGCTGCTGCTACCAAGAGTGTTTCACCAAGGGTGGAACTAAGCAAACTAAAACTTTTAACTATCTCAATCTATTCACCATCCATATTGATGCTGCCAATTGGCCCAGTGGTGAGAATTCTTGTTTTCTTGACGTTGAGCTTCAATCTGTATTGAAAGCTTCAGTCCTTGACTTTCTTTTTTTTTTTAAATTTTTTATTTTATTATTTTTGTGTGAGTGTACCGTCAAATCAGATCTGACTGGTACAGGAGGAGATTGTCCCTCCTTCCCCCAGCAGAGCATCTGGTGGATTCAAACCATGTGCCTCTGGGATTGTAGTTGCAGCTCCTTACCACTAGGCCACCAGAGCTCCCCAGTCCTTGACTTTCTAAAGCAAGTGCTTCAGGTCCTTCTCAGTTTCAGGAAGCAAGGTTATGTCATCTGCATAACGCAGGTTGTTGATGAATCTTCCTCCAATCCTGATGCCACATTCTTCCTCGTACAGCCTAGCCTCCAGAATGATCTGTTTGCAGATTGAAAAGGTATGGAGACAGAATACATCCCTAGCGGACCCCCTTCTCTATTTTGAACCATGCAGTGTCTCCTTGCTCTGCTCTGATGACAGCCACTTCGTCCAAGGATAGGTTTCACATAAGCACAATCAAATGTTCTGGGATCCCCATTCTTTTTGGTTAGCCACAGCTTGTTGTGATCCACACAGTCAAAAGCCTTTGCATAATCAATAAAGCACAGACAGACATTCCTCTGGTACTCTGTTTTCCACCAACAGCCATGTAACATTAGCTATAATATCCCTAGTACCATGACTTCTTCTAAACCTGGCCTGTATATCTGGCAGTTCTCTGCTGACATGTTGCTACAGTCATTCTGGGGTATCTTCAGCAATAGTTTATTTTGCTTGCATGTGATATTAATGTAATTTTCAGCTTTTTGAGGAAGGCCCAAACTGCTTTCCACATCCTTTCCCTTTGTTTTGGCTTCCTGATATTCTAGTGCAATTTTCAGAGCCTCTTCTGATATCCACTTTTTGTCTTTTCTTTCTCTTCTATACAATGACCTTCTCACTAATATTCTGGAAATGACCCTGGTAAGACAGTACAGAGAAAGAAATGAGAGGGCCAATTAACTCATTTTACAACTTTGGGCACGTTGCAGGAGATGACAGTCCTTGGAAAAAGATATTGTGCTTGGAAAGACGGAGTCAGTGAAAAAGAGGAAGACCTTCAATATGATGGAGTAACACAATGACTGTATCAATGGACAAAGTAATCAGAGGTGATGAGGATGGCACAGCACAGGACAAGGTTCAGATCCACAATTCACAGAGTCGCTAGAGTTGTAGTTGACTGCTGACACCAAGCAACAACAACAAATGTACCATCTAAAGTGAAGGCTTTCAGAAGGGACTATTTCAGATAAGATCATCTAACAAGATGGAAGAAACAACAGTAAAATAAGGAAAACCTACCTGTAGACCTAGAAATTATGAGGCAAAATGCTTAAATAAAAAAAAATTTGCCTTTACTTATTACACAGTATATTTAAGTATATGTTGTTGTTGTTGTGTACTGTTGAGTCAGAGCCGACCCATAGCTGACCCTCCAGGGGGTTTTCAGACGCAGTTAATCACACTGGAAGAAACTGCCCATTCTTCTCCCACAGAGCAGCTGGTGGCCTCGAACTGTGTGCCTTCAGTATTGCAGCACAGCTTCTTGCCACTAGGGCACCCAAGCTTCCTAATAAATGGCACTTAATTACCTTATGTTGCTGAGAATGCTACTTTTAAAGGTTTGTGTTTGTTTTCTCTTCTGTAACATTTTTAACCATTATATAGTTAACCTTTTCTTCTATCTGTATGAATATAGTGACCTAGTTGTAAAGAGTTTAGCTGCCAATCTGAAGACACATGGTTTGAATCCGCCAGCTAGTCCAGGGGAGAAAAATGGACCATCTCCTCCCATTTGATTTACAGCCTCTGAAAACCTGTTGGAGGGTCTGCTATGAGTCAGTTCAGATTTGAAGGCATATAACAGTAGCAACTTATGAAAAGAAAAAGCCAATGCCACTGAGTTGATTCCACCTCCTAGCTTAAAGTGACCTTACAGGACAGAGCGGCACTGTGCCACAGGGTTTCCAAGGCTGTAAATCTCATCTGGAGCAGGATGTCTCACTGCTTCCCAAGGAATGGCTGGAGGATTTGAACCAAGCCTACAGCAGTGCCATCAGGGTTCCTATCTGCATACTCATGCAAAAGCTTTGCAGTGGAGATGGAAATGACCCACAGCCAACCCTCCAGTGGATTTCTGGGAGCAGTAAATCAGACAGGAGAAGACAGCCCATCCTTCTCCCAT